AATCAATTACTAGTTAATGATATTCTATTATGTTGCAATAAATTAATTAATCGTGATAAACATTTGGGGTGTATTGTTGGTGATTTGAGGCATAAAAATCTATATTGAAATCTTGAAGTCCTTAACTATTTTGGTTCGAATTTATGGAATATGTTGGGAACCAATTTAGTATCATCTACTACTTGTACTACACGTTTGATATGGTTTATGATTTAAATCCGTTAACTTTGTTTGATTTAATTTCTTTAACTATTATTGTAAGCGATAACTTAGATGGAAAGTAATGGATTGAATTATATGCATCTCAAGGTAGCAAAAGAAAGAGACGTAAAATATTCGAACTAGGTGATTGGGTTTAGGTGCTTAGGCAAAAAACTACTTGTTTGAATGCAAAAGAGATCAAGATTACATCCTAGAGAAGGTAGATCATTCTACATCATTGAAAAGATTGAAACCAATGGCTACAATTTGGATCTTTAAGGTAAGTTTATGATCATTTGTATTTTTAATGTCTCTGATCTTTCTCTCTTTGATGTAAGTACTTACTCGAGGCCGAATAATTTCGAAAAGGGCAGGGATCACGTGATCCAAGGAAGGCAACAAACTATCGAAGGTTCGATATATATTGAGAAGAGGCTAAGGGTAAATTAGAGATCAAATAGAGTAAATGAAGTCATGAAATCACTCGTTCAAGCTATGGAGTCCAAGATGGTGAAGTTAACAAGTCAAAGACCAAGTGCTATGTTGGGCATGGGAACGGAAACAAGTTGGAATGCTTTGGAATCAAGAACTCAAAACTTGAAGAGACAGACTTCTATGCGAATGCATAGTACAAAACTGAGTACGATCGCATGCCTCTATACCTAATCAAAATTGAAGGCTATCAATTGGCCTACATGCGGCATGTGCAATTCTAGACGCAAATTTTTAAAATTTCTCGTAATCTTCTATTTTAGTTAAAACTCTATTTTGTTATATATTTTATTATTTTTAGAGTATAATTCCATTTTCTAGCTAGATTTTATGGATTCTCTATAAATAGAACTCATTCTATTCATTGTAAAAAACACAATTTGAGAGATTTTACCGTAAGACATATTGATGTCTTCTCGTTCTTCATTGAATTATTTGTGAATCTATCAAGATTATTTTTTATGACGTTCAAACAAATCGAGTGAGATTTTAAAATTTTGTGATTATGGGATCAACACATTGTCGACGATTGTGTTGGTTTTTTGATTCAATAATTTATTTGGTCAAGCTTTCAAACTTTGATTCTTAGCTTGCTTGGGTTGAATCAATCATATGTGAGTTTTGTAGTTTCAATTGCTACGTGGGTTCGCATCACAGAGTGTTCTTCAAGTTTTGAAAGACAAATACAAGTGTGTGTGTGTATTTTCTTCTTCAATGTTTGATCAATCCTACAAACAATTTACCAAGAGTTCCCTTTAAGCACAAAGTAAATCCCAAATTAAATTTCAGAGAGGGCAAATATTGTTTGAGGACAATAATCTCGTGTTTGAGTCTTTCTACTGTTGACCTATGGTTGACGTCTCATTTTGATTATTACAAACAACTTGCTTTTATTTCTAACAAATTGATTTTGAGTGTCTATAGTGACTATTGAAAATCAATAAAATTGAAGACACGAAGTTCAAGGTAAAATAACTTTGCATACAGCGATCGACATGGAAATA